TGGCCCATGTTCATCTTGGAATCAATAATGTCTCCAAGATCTCTTTCTGCCTCTGTGCTGACGAGAAGGGAGTTCCCCAGCCTGTAGGTATGCTGCTGGTTCTTCCTCCGCAGGTGCAATACCTTGCACTTGTCAATACTGAATCCCATCCTATTCTCATTCGCCCACCCCTGCAACCTGTCGAGGTCTAGTTGTAGCCTCTCCCTCCCTTCTAGTGTGCCCACCTCTCCCCACATCTTAGTGTCATCCATGAATTTGAACAGGGTGCTTTCCAACCCCTCATCCAAGTTGCTGATGAAGATGTTGAACAGTGCAGGCCCAAATACCAAGCCCTGTGGGACCCCACTGCTCCATCCCTCCAGGTCAAAAATGACCCATCCACCACCACTCTCTGGGTGCGGCCCTCTAGCCAATTTGCAACCCATCTGACTGTATAGGTGTCAATGCCACAGTCACCTAATTTTTGAATGAGAATGAGGTGAGAGACAGTGTCGAAAAGGCAACTAGGTTGGTCTGACAGGACCTGCCCCTAATGAACCCATGTTGGTTGCCCCTGAGCATAATCTCCCCTGCTGGTCCCTTGCAGATGTGCTCCTGGATAATTTTCTCAAAGATCTTCCCCAGGACCAAGGTAAGACTAATGGGCCTATAGTTTCCCAGGTCCTCCTTCCTCCCTTTTTTGAAAATGGGAACCACATTAGCCGTTTTCCAGTCCTGGCCAGAGCACCACGAGTGCTTGTAAAGCCATGCCAGGGGTCCTGCAATGACCTCTGCCAATTCCCTTAGCACTTTGGGGTGGAGATCATCTGGACCTGCTGATTTAAACACACCCAGCCCCACCAGAAGTTCCCTAACTAGGTCCTCCCTGACCCTAGAGCTGGCTGTGCCTCTCCTGAGTCCATCCAGGATCCTGGTGGGGGGATGTCCCAGTCCCTACTCAGAAAAATGGGGGGCAAAGAATTTGTTAAAGAGGTCAGCTTTATTGTCTGGTACAACCACCAGATTGCCAAGTGTGTCCTGCAGGGGCCCCATGTTACCCGGTGCCTTCTTTTTACTCCCTATGTATTTAAAAAAGGACTTCTTGTTATCTTTGATCCTAGTTGCTAGTCCTAGTTCTGTGTCTGCCTTAACCTTCCTAACAGCCCCCACCTACAGTCTTGAGCAATGGAGGTATAATCCTCCTTGTTGATAGCCCCTCTCTTCCACTGGATGTACACCTCCTTTTTAGTTTTCAGATGTTCCTGAATGCCTTTGGTGAGCCATGGGGGCTTTTGAGCACTCTTGCCCCCTTTGATTTGCATCGGGACTGTCACCCTTTGGGCTTGGAGGATCATCTCCTTAAGGAACGACCACTTGTCTTGGACTGCCAACTCTCCTCCCCTCCGGGACCTCAGTGCCTCACTGACTAATCTCCTTAACTCATTAAAATCAGCTTTCCTGAAGTCAAGGGCTGCTGCCTTGCTGCAGGCCTTTGACACCCTGCGCTGAATGGTGAATTCCAGTAGGCAATGATCGCTATTGCCCAGGTGGTCGAGAATCTGCAGTCCCCTCACCAGGCCATTGCCTGTGGCCAGGACCAGGTCCAGCAAGGCATATCGCTTAGTAGGACTATGCACTTCCTGGGTGAGGTGGAGGTCCTGTATCTTGGCTAGGAACCTACATGAGTGGTCAGACTTGGCTGACTGCTCCTCCCAGCAGATGTCTGGGTAGTTTAGGTCACCCATGATGACTATGTCCCTTGACTTAACTGCATCCGTGAGCTGACCTGAGAATTCCTGATCCAGCTCTTCCCCCTGGTTGGGTGGTCTCTAGTAGACTCCCACTGTTAAGTCCCTTTCCCCACAACCCCCTTGTATTCTAACCCAGAGCACTTCAGTCTGCCCCTCCTCTGATCCAGTGCTGTTTGCTGAGGATGTGTCTTGCTCTTTGATGTACAGAGCCACAGGCCCGCCTTTCCTCCCCATTCTATCCTGCCAGGACAGTCTGTAGCCCTTGATGTTTACTGCCCAATCATGGGTTGACTCCCATCAGGTTTCAGTGAGCACCACTATGTCCGGGTTTGTGTTAGCCAGCAGGAGGGCAAGTTCCTAATACTACGAGCATTAGTGTAGAGGGATTTAAGGCCTCCTATGGGTGCATGCACCACCCCCCTGATCCTAGGACTGTCCGGACACCTGTTACTTATGTGGGTACTTCCTGTGCTTATCACTTGGCTTGGCTGGGAAGTGTTCTCATGTCCTCCTGTGGCCCCATCCCCTATTATCTTTATAGCTCCTTATTTCTTGCAGTTGTGCAATTCCAGGACTTAGCTAGAATGTTAAGAAATGAACCTGTACATTGTGTTCATTTTGTTGCGTTAGGTGTCTTGTGTCAGTGAGTTAATTAAAAATAGAAGAAGATGTTCTTGTTTCAGTGAACTGTTTAGCACATCCAGTTTAGAAGTGCTCCTTAGGAAATATTTGCATTCTCCAAGCCAAATAAAGTTTGTGTACAGATTTAACAGTAATTACACACTAGGAGCTCTGTAAATTTATCTAAGGGGAAAATTTAATTGTGTGTATTAAATACACACACATTCCAGCTTCCCTTCTTTCCGAATGTCAAAAGGTTGTAAGTTATCATCTTCACCCTCAATTGTCTGTGCCAAGATTCACAGATTATAAAGTTACAGAGGTTCTTCAGGTAGTCCTGTACATCACAATTTAGAAAGCATGTATGTGTTTCTTTTTTCCTTCCTGCTTTATTTAAAATTTAGACTTGTCCAAGGATTGCCAAAACTGTGTAATGTGTAATACATCAGATCCATAACATAAGAATTTTGTGCATGCTGAAGAAAAAAATTATTCAACTGACATAGGCAGATCCAGGATATTGTAAAGAGGGGTGCAGGAGCAGTGATTGGTACTGCAGAGGTAGCTTCGTCCCCAGCTTCCATCCCCCTCTACCCTCCCCGCCAGGGTGGGCAGACTACACTGTAGGAATGGCAGCTAGGTATGTTTTTTAAGTCTTTGAATCAGGTAAGATTATTTCTTTCCTCCCCCTGCTTTTGGCAATCCCTCTGTCCTCCTTGGTGCTCAGTGGCACTTGCCTGCCCCCATCTTTCCTCCCTTTCCATTCTCCTCCTTATCCATCCACTGCTGTCTCTGGGTGACCCCAGGAGTGGGGGTAGCTCCAGAGCTGCTCCTGCCCTCTCCAGCAGGGCTCAACCATAGACAGTGGTGGCAGTGGTGGTGGGAAGGTTCCCCCTCCTGTGACTGCTGTCTGGGAACATGTGGGGGATCAGGCAGCTGCTGTTCTCTCTGGCTGATCCTGGCTCCTGGCACAGCCCATCTGGAGTGGGGCAGGAGTGGCTCTGGACCTTCCCCTACTCCCAGGTCAGCCAGGGACAGTGGCAGTAGCAGGCAGGGTGGGCGGGGAATAGAAAGGGGGATAGGTGCCGCTGAGCACCAAGGGCAAGGGAGGGTGCTACTCCTTATCTACTTTGAGGACTTAAAAATTAAGTCCCCAGTTGCTAATCCCATGGCAAAGTCTGAAGGGGAGTGGGGGATGCAACCATGCCACCACACCCTTTCTGGATCCATCTCTGGAACATGGCCTAACTTGAGCAGGTTTACAGTAATATCCCATGAGTTAGTCAATTCATTTGGTTGGGGGATGCTCATAAAATGCCCCCC